GGCATCTCGGGGCCGCATGTTGACGTGGACCTGCTCGGGCTCCACATCGACGGGGCGAGGGGGGCGATCCACATCGCGCCCAAGCGGTTCTGGAGGCTGGTCATGAGTCTGGACTACATCCTGAAGCACCCCCTCCTGACGGGAGCCGAGCTACAGCGGCTGATCGGGCACTTGACGTACGTGCTGCTGCTACGACGCGAGGTGCTCAGCTTGCTCAGTGCGTCCTACGTCTCTGTCAGCAAGTGCCACGCGCGGCGCGTGCGGCTCTGGCCTTCGGTGCGCCGAGAGCCGACCTGGATGCGAGCGCTGCTGCCGCTGGTGTGGGCGGATCTGCGCGGCGCCTGGGCCCCCAGCGTGATGGCCGTGGACGCCTCGATGATTGGCTTGGGCGCGTTGGAGCGCTCCGCGGACCCCCGCGACGTCGGGCGCATCGGCCGAGTTAGAGAGCGCTGGAGGTTCAAGGAGCACGAGCTGGTGGCCGAAGGCTCGCGTGCACGCTCCTTGCGTGAAAGCGCCGTCGGCGACTCCCCGTTCCCCGACGTGCCGTCGGACTTCTGCAAGGCCGCCTCGTGGAAGACCGTGGCCTCGAGACGGTGGCGCCATCGTGCCCCCATCCACTTTCTGGAGGGCGAGGCGCTGCTGTGGGCCATGCGGCGGCAGGCGCGGCGAGTGGCGCATCATGGGTGCAGGCTTCTCTTTTTGTCAGACAGCATGTGCATTTGCTGTGCAGTTGCAAAAGGAAGAGCCTCGGACTTTCCCATCCTCGCTCAGTTGAGACACTTCACAGCTCTTCAGCTCGCATCGTCTTGTCGTGTGTCAGCGCGATGGATTCCTTCAGAGTGGAACCCCGCCGGCGGTCCTTCAAGGCGGTTCGAGCCTCGCCGTTTGCGGGGCGATGGAGCGCCGTCGGCTCGCGGCGGCCGCGCCGAGTGCGCAGCCGCTGCCTACTCCGAGTGCGCTGGCGAGCGGCCATGGGCGGAAGCGCCTCCTGGGCTCGCCGGGCCGCTCGCGCTCGGGTCAGGCGAGGGCCAGCGCCAGACGCCCCTGGCCCGCCGCCGCGCCCCGGAGGTCGACAGCCTTGCCGCGGCACCGCCTCCTGGGCTCGAGCGCGTCAGGACTGGAGCTGGAGGCGGTGAGGCCCTCCACCCAGCAGAACTACCTGAAGCGCCTCAGTGGCCTCTGCAACTGGCTCGGAGCGGAGACGCTGCCCAGCTGGAGCGCGCTGGAGTGGGACGACGCACTGCTGCAGCACCTGAACGACGAGTTCGCGCAGGGGGCGCGGCCGAACAGGGCTGCGAAGCTGTTGTCGGCGGTGCTCTGGGCGCGACCGGCGCTGGGGCGGCCCCTGCGGGTTGTGTTGCCGAGGGGCAGCCGGGCGCTGCTGGGCTGGAAGCGCAAGCGGCCTGGCCTCTCTCGGCCGCCGCTCCCTTGGCTGGTGCTCTGCGGCGCGCTGGAGCTCCTGCTGCTGAAGCGGGGGGTGGCGATGGCGTGCGCCCTCTGCTTCACCACTGCTACCTTCGGCCCGGAGAGCTCCTGGCGATGAAGGCGTTTCAGCTGGTGCCGCCGGCGGCCGGGCTGCAGGGCGGGTTTCGCTGGTGGACGCTGCTGCTTCATCCGGAGGAGCTGCTGGTGCCCAGCAAGACTGGCGAGCTGGGCGACTCGCTGCCGCTGGGCGCGCCCGAGCTCCAATGGCTCACCCCCGCGCTCAGGGATCTGAAGGCGCGGTTGGAGCCCCGCGAGCCGCTGTGGAGTTTCGGCTACGCGCAGCTGCGCGAGGAGCTCGAGAACGCGCTGGCGGTGCTGGGACTTCAAAGCCTCGGTGCCACGCTGTGCTGCCTACGGCGCGGAGGAGCAAGCCACGATCGAATCGTGGGAAGGAGGTCGCTCGAGGAGGTGGCCAAGAGAGGCAGGTGGCGAGCTCGCCTGTCCGTGCGGAGGTGCGAGAAGCACGGCCGCCTGGCGCTGCAAGTGGCGAAGGTGCCGCCCGTGGTGCAGGAGCGGCTGCGACTCAGCATGCAGAGGCTGCCGCAGCTGTTCGCCAGCTGCTCAACGCGACGCTCCACAGAGTGCGCCTGAGGCGAGATAGGGTCGCCATCGAGGTCTTCGCTGGGTCAGACCGCCTCGCCTCGGCGCTTCGTGCCAGAGGAATCCCCGCGGTCGAGTGGGACATCACTCGAGGAGCGCAGTTTGATCTCACCAAGGCGTCCAGTGTCGAAGTTCTGAAAGGATGGGTTCTCAGTGGTGAGGTGAGCATCTTGCGGTTAGGAACCCCGTGCACTTCTTTCTCGTTGGCCCGTAGGTACACCAAGTCTGGGCCAGGACCTTTGAGGTCCCAAGAGTTTCCTCTTGGACTGCCGGGCCTCTCTGGTCCCGATCAAATGCGAGTGCAGTTGGGTAACCGTTTGATGCGCGTCTCTGGTGTGCTTGCTAAGCTAGCTCACACCATATGGATCCCTGGCGGGCTCGAGAATCCAGCTTTTTCTCGTCTTTGGCTGTGTCCGCCTGTGCTAGGTCTCGGTAGGCTCCCCAATGTTCACGATGTTTTCACGGACTTTTGTATGTGGGGTGAGCCGTGGCGCAAACGAAAAAGGCTTCGCCTCTGGCACGTTTCTCCGGAGCTTCTTGGGCGAAAGTGCCACGGTAAAGGCAGTTGTGAGAAGCCCCAGAGGCCTCGCCAAGTGTTAGAAGGCAAGGCCCCCGGTGGCCAGTTTTGGACTGCAGTTGCACAGCCTTACCCCGAGGCGCTGTGCAAGATCCTTGCGAAGTCTCTTGTGGACTTGTAGATGCGTCAAATAATCGTAGGCTCTCTCGGTTGTGGGACATTTGTAAATGCTAGGCGGTATTACCAGTACACTAATGAATCTGGACGCGAATATGGCCCAGAGTTTTTTACTTGTTCGATGCTGCCGCGTTCTGTTGTCACTGTTGCCGATGCCTCGCCCCAGCGCCCTCTCAAGCTTGTGCTGGAGAAAAATAGAAGGCCTTGGAGATAGTTTACCGGGTTGGCCTGTCAATTTGGTGATCCGCAACCGTTGGCTCTAATCAGCCGCGCGAGCCGCCCGTCCCTCCCTCCCTTCTCTGCTCTTCCGCCTTTCAATCCCACATGAATTCAGAATTTAACAGGCCCAGAGTTTTTTACTTGTTCGATGCTGCTGCGTTCTGTTGTCACTGTTGCCGATGCCTCGCCCCAGCGCCCTCTCAAGCTTGTGCTGGAGAAAAATAGAAGGCCCAAAAGGGCCCCTGGCTAGCCCAAGACGGCCCCAGAGGGACCCAGGACGGCCCCAAGCAAGGGCTCAGAGAGGATGCCCTACGAACATTGCAAGCCCTCCGCCCCCAGAGTTCCCATGGAGGGAGTTCCCAAGGAGGCCCCACGAGCCGCCAAAAACGTCCCCAAGAAGCCCCCCCAAAACCTTCAAAAAGCTCCCATACAGGCCCCCCAACAGCCCCCTGACCAGACGCCCTCAGGTACTTTTCCCGCTCCCGAAGCTTCCGGACCGCTCTTCGCTTCCCGAGGCCCGAAACGGGGCCCAGGACCGTCAACACACTGAAGACGACACCCCGGGCCCGATGAAGGTTTTCGGGTTTCGGGCCCATGCACTCCAGGGACCCCGCGTTGAACAAGTCACGCTAGCGAATCTCTTGGACAGGATGACATACCAGTCCCGTGGAATGCGCCGGACTTCCAGGACCCGACTTGTAGCGACCCGTGGTGGTGATGATAGTGGTCGTGGATTCGCGGCAGTGGCAGTGGCAGTGGTAGTGGTATTGGCGGTGGTACAGGCAGAGGTTGAACCAATGGCCGTGATAGTGGTCGCGGAAAGTGCAATCGTCGTGGATCGGGTGGTCATGCCCAGAATAGACATGGAATCGGAAGTGGCCGTGACTGCGGTGATGGCGGAATGGGCTGTGGTAGCCGTGGCGGCACTGGCGGTGTTGAGCGTGGTCGTGGGAGTGACTAGAACCTAAGTGCGAGCGAAGCGCGCGTGGTTCTAGTATATATATATATACCTATACAACCACCCTTCGGATGATAAGGTTGTTGTGGGGGGGAGAGAGGGGGGGAACCAACAACTGACTCATTCGATCTCTGTATCAATCTCATTCAACGGGACACAAAGGGACACCACGGGATGCTAGTCGATCTCACTATCAACCTCATTCAACGGGACACCACGGGCCACCCGGGGACACCACGGGATACCGCGGGACACCTCTAGATCTCAGTATCGATCTCATTATCGATTTTACTATCGATTTTACTTTTGGGGACACCATAGGACACCACGGGGCACTTCGGGACACCACATCGCTCTCACTATCGATCTCATTATCGATATCACTCAACGGGACACCACGGGGCACCACGGCACACCTGTCGATCTCACGATCGATCTCACTCAACGGGACACTTCGGGGCACCACATCGATCTCAATATCCATATCACCACGGGACACCCGGGACACCGCCCGGCCCAACTGGGACACCTCCCGGCCACCGGCGGACGGGAAACGGACTTTCGCTCTTACTGACACCCGGGACACCCAGGACACCGCCCAGCCCAATTGGGACACCTCCCGGCCACCAGCGGACGGGAAACGGGTTTTCGTTCCTATTTCGGCTTAGCTATAGGAGGATCACGCGCAACTTCGCCTCGCCCGCAAGTACGACACGAACACGAAACCGAAACCGATTTCCTGGTGGGGGGGTCTCCGTTTCACTGCGATCTCACCCCCCAATCTCCCATACATACAAATATACATATATATATATACATACATATATATATATACATATACATACACGAGCCAGCGGTGGCACAGCTTTAGCCAGACCTGAACCTCAGACATTGTATTCCGAAAAGCGAGCCGCGCCACGTATATACCATTGCATGATACACGATACGTGGTTCAGGTTCCATTGCTTTTGCTTTTCCCCGATGCCTTCGCTCTCCCCGCCTCTCTGCATTCTTAGTCGTCGGCTTCCTCTTGCGGGCTGTAAGGTATCCACTACCGGCTCAGCACCACCCTCAACAGCCTTGATGACCCAGGGAATCTCTTGAGGTGTTGCAGGGGGGTGGGGGAGGCTCCCCGCTGCTGCTTCCATCCAATTGTCATTCGGTCCTCTTCTTGGTCCTGTCTTCTCCTTTCGTCACTGCTGATGCTGCTGTGACAGGGTCTCGCCAGCTCGGCTTGTGTGGGGGTTCCCCGAGCTCTCGTTCCTCCAAGACCGGCTGTAGGTCTGTCGGTGGCCGCGTCATGAGGTGAGAACAGATAGGCCGTGGTCATAATGTTTTAGCCAGACGGCTCGACAGACCCAGAGCGTCTCTGAAAGTTTGCAGGTCTGCCTTCGAGAAAGGTGAAGGCCAGGATTCTCGATTCTCCCTCGTTTGTTGTGTTGTTCTGTGCTGCCCGCCATCCCAATTGCGAGTGGCATCGTATCCCATGGATGTTGTTTATTTTGGCATTTCCCCACCACGTCGGACGTAGACAGATTTTTTCTAGCGAGGTGCACTGAACTGAACTGGTAGGACTGGTCGCCCTTGTTCAGCAGGCCGTTTTATATTCGGCAGCCAGGTGCGCAACTGATGGTACAACCCATAGCAGGCCGTTGTTTGTTCTAGTCGCTTCGCGTAACCCCACCAGCCCATCCAGAAATGACGCCCTAACGAGTTGCTCTGATCAGGGATGCGCAGGACTTTGCAGTGGAGCAAAGAGCTGGAGAAGCCGTCGTACCCCAAGAGTGAGAGGATGGAGGAGGAGTCGGATGAGGAGGGGGGGGCAGGGGGACTGGGAGGAGGGAGAAAGGAGGAGGAGGAATCGGGAATAGGCGGATGAGGAGGAGAAGAAGAAGACGGAGAAGGAGGAGGAGGAGAAGGAGGAGGAGGAGGAGGAACAGGTCCGTAGCCATTTTGGCTCAAGGCTAAACGTTGTGAAGGACTATAGACGTCCGAGAATCAGCGATTAGCTTTGGACCCTGCCTCCGCAGGTGGCCCGAGCAGCCGTTCTGTGGCCACCAGGGGCCATCGCGCTTTCCGCGCCCCGTTCTCAGTCTTTGCCTTTCGGGTGCGGCTACCAGGTAGCCGCGAGGCATGGCTGCGATCGTTCCTCAAGATGAAGCGGAGCGTGCTCGACTGGCGGCTGAGCTGGACGCTATGGCAACCTTCCCGTCGCAGGTGTCTCAGGTGCCGTCTCCTGCACGTGTTGGCGTTCCTGCGGGCAGTGGCGGTGGCGTCAAGCGTCCCAGTGAGCATGGACATGGCGGTCGGGAATCCAGTGGTTTCGAGATCTGCGGGGAAGGCGACTCGGACCTCAAGGCGTACATCGACCAGCTGCGCGACACCCTCACCCAGGACTTGTCGCAGATGCAGGCCTCTGTCAACGCCACTCTGGCTTCGACGGCGACTTCGGTCACTAATTCATGCACGGAACTTTCGATTCAAGTGGAACGACGGTTGGCACCGTTGGAGGCGACGGTGCGCGACCACACGACACAGATTGCTGAGGCTATGGCGGAGATCAAGCAGCTGCGCACGGAGCTTGGCGTGGCCAAAGAGTTCGACACCTGCCCCACCTCCGACCCTGGCTGGTACGAACTTCGACCGCTCGCCTGACCCGACGATCATCGTGCTGCGCTGCCAGTCACTCGTGTCCAAGGAGGGCATCAGGGAGATGGCAAAGCACTGGCTGGCGCAATGTGCTATCAACGACGACCAGTGGGAGATCCTCGGCGACCCGTCCAGCAAGAGGCATCTTATCAAGTTCAAGGGGGCGGTCAACTATGCGAGCCGCCCGGTCAACCAATCCTTGGGCTTGCTCAAACCCACTCAGCATGGTGGGGCGTGGAACAAGCTTGCTGCGTCAACATCGAGCGAGTCCGGGTGGAGGTATATGCTGGCCCTGACAAGTCCCCCTGCCAGATCAAGCGCGAGGTCGCCTGCAAGAAAGCGAAGACCGCGTTCAACGTTCTCTACACTGATAGGAAGATTTACAGCAATCGCGAGAAGGGCGTCCTGTCGTACCAGCAGAAGGAGCTGCTGGAGACCACGCCGCGCCTGGACGACAACCCGAACCTGCGATGGAACCCTCGCAACCTCGCGGACCTGGGCTTCGACATGGAGTCGCTGCGCTCGAAGGTCACTGAGGCTTTGGCCGGCGGCGAGGATGTCTCTGAGTGGTGCGTTGAGCACCTTGCACGCGCTGTGGAGCGGGCGTCATCGCTCTGCGACGCCTGCGCGCCTGGCGACTTGGAACGCCAACGCCCTGATGCATCATGGGCCGTCTCTCCGCACTAGAAAGCAGAAATTTCTAGCTTCTCTGTTGCAGCCTGGCGCTATAGTTCCATTCAGGAAGTGCACGGGCCCCAACATGATCTAGAAAATTTTAGGCATACGTTTAACACCCCTTTCCAGTTCACCCCTTCCTTCGTCCCTCCTGACTCCCCCGCTTCGTCCAGAACTGGAGGCGTCGCTACCCTTTTTTTACCGTTTTCCAGAGGTCTGAGGTTCGGCAACAGCTTTTTGGATCTCCCCTCCCCCTTGTGACGTATGACCCCATCGTTCCTGGTCGAGTTCTACATACTAAAATCGGTTCTCAAGATGGTCGCTCGTGGATTTCCCACTTCAACGTACATAATCATGATTTGAACGCGCAGGAGAGACGTGCTGTTTCTCCGAAGATCCGTACGGAGTACGCCTGCAGCCAGGAGAGGCCGCATGAGAGGCTCCTCTTCGTCGTGGGCGACTTCAACTTTAGTCATCTTCCTCCTTTGCCTCTTGTCCCTGACCCTGGTGCGGGACCTCCTGTTCCTCCTGCCCCTGCCCCTCGCGTTTGGCGAGACGCTCTCGGACCCTTGGTTGATATGCAGCTGGAGGCCCCGACTCACTTTCATCCTGGAACCAAAATGCTCACGTTTATCGGCAGAATCTTTACGTCGGCCCCTGGCTGGGTCATTACGCAACACTCTTCTGGTGGCCAGGTCCCTCAGGATCCCGTTGCGCTGCAAGCGGAGGAGATTTCCGACCGCGCCCCCGTCTGTGTTTGCCTGCAGGTTCGCGAGAGGACCCTGCCCGACCAGCGCCCGATCCCTCGCGAGATTTTCAAGTCTGCGCAGTATGCCAAGTTTCTTACCTCTGCATGGGAGGCTGCCCCGCCCTCGGCGGACATGAGCCAGCCGCAGATTCACGCATGCCTGAAAATGCGGATGCATGAAGCCGCGCGACGCGCGCGCGATAGCATTATAGTTCACAAGCCAAACAGCATAACAGCCAAGTTCTTGATTGTCAGAAGCTGCGCGAGGGCGGTCTTCTAGAACGACTTTGCGCTGGCGTCCAAGCTTTTACGCGCTCACCCCCTCGCCAGAGAGCACCTTGATGTACAGCCTGAGGTGCGTGCTGTCTCTCTTCGGATTCCGCGAGAATATTCGATCCTGTCGAGCGCCCTGCATCATGAAGCAGCAAATCGGTTTCGCGCTGAAATCCGTCAGCGAGCTGAGCGAGAGCCTGATTTCCACCGGAGAAGCAAGCTCAAAAAGCAGCAGCGTAGACTTACGAAGATGCAGCAGCTGTGGTCCCCCTTTGACAAGCGCATGTACCTGGCAGGTGTGCGTCTCGACAACGGCTCGCTCGTTCAGGAGCCCCAGCAGATGTTACAACAGCTCGGAGCCCATTTGCGCGAGGTCTTCACGGCGAAGCCCTTTCTGGCTGACCAGGCCGCCGACCTCTTGCAGCGCCACGCCCCGAAGTTGCCGCAGCTAGATTTACCGCCTCCGAGCAGCCACGCTCATCGGAAAATCCTGGACCGCGTCCGCCCTTCGGCCCCTGGCCCTGATAATCTGCCCTGCGAGGCGTGGAAAAACGCTCCCATGGGAATCGAGATCCAGACGGGCAGCATGAGGTGGATGCTCGAAGGTTTTTCTCTCGGCGCAGACTTCAACGCTGTCCTGGGGGTGTTCGCGCCGAAGGGCGAAGAGGACGACGACGGCAACGGTGCGATCAGAAGTGCTACGAACACCCGCCCCCTCGGTTTGAAAAACGCCGATAACAAGTTAATCACCGCCGCATGCTGCTATGCGCTGGGCCGCGCTGTGCCTCAGGGTCTCGACGAGATCCAAAAAGGTTACGTGGCAGGGGGGAATTTTGGGGACAACATTATCGATCTGGATGTTCGAGCACGCACACACGGTATGCATGAGCCCTCGTTGCGCCCGGTTTTGGTCGGATACGACTTCGGCCAGGCCTTCCCGTCGGTCAGCCATCAGTGGGTGCTGATGGTCCTGGCAGCGTTGCCGATCCCGAGTGCTTTGAAAGACTTTTTCGAGCTGGTTTACGTGGATGTCTCTTGTTGGGGCAAGATCGGTCATATATACCAATGTCTATTCCATATCGCCAGCGGTATGATCCAGGGATGTCCAGGCGCTGGGCTTCTATTTGCGTTATCCACCAGGCCTTCAGGGAGAAAATCGACGCCCCTGACAGAGGTATCACTCGAGCCTGTGCGGACGACGTCGGCATGGCCCTTCGTCGCTTGGCGCATCTATTGCACGCCTTCCGTGTTTTCGAGTTAGCCAGGCTCATAGCGCACTTGAAGATCAAGAGCTCTAAGTGCACGATCGTCCCAGTCGGAGGCCCCATGTCGTCCAGACTCAAGCTCCACACCAAAGACTGGCTACTCGATAACATCCCAGAGTGGCAGGACTTTAAGATCGAGGAAACCCTTGGCTACTTAGGGATGCTGCTGGGCCCTGCCGTCACTCCGGAGGACCCCTAGAAGAAGCCGATCGCTAAGTACACCAGCAGAGCCCACTCCATCGGTGCCCTGGGGAGTTCATCTGAGGTCTCTGCTGGCCTTTATCGTGCGCGTGCGTTGACGGTCCTCTCCTACGTTGCTCAATTCCTCCCTCCTCCTCGTCGCCTCCAACGTGACGAGTGCTGGGTCTTCCCTCGGCTCCTGAAAATACAGTATCGTGCTTTGACAAACGCTGACTGGCATAATCTTGGCCTCTGGGGAGGTCCCAAGCTCGGCAGCGCGCAGGCGATGTGTCACGCGTCCCTGATGAGGGCGGCCATTTGCACCTTCACCCCATGGAGAGCTTGGGTGGACCTGCTATGGCGCGAGGCTGAAGAACATTTGCCCTTTGTCCGATCGCTGGCGCGAACTCCGTGGCCGTCTCACTGGAAGAGCCCCCCGTGCGCGTTCAACCTTCTGGAGGCCTCCGAGGGATGCCCGCAGAACCCCTACCATGCGCAGGCTGGTGCCCGAGCCCTTCGGGCCCTGAAAGACGCCCAGCTCGAGTTCCCCGACAAGCCCCTGTGGCCCCTGAAGCCCCAAAGGATTTTCACTCGTGCCCTTGTTGAACAACTATATCCTGATAGTGTTCAACACACCTTTCGGCGACGGTTGCTGGGTGCTCGCCCTGAATGCAAGAGCATCGTCGACTCCGTGGAGTGGGAAAAAGTTCGCGAAGCGATTGCCCCCCCCCCCCCCCCCTCTTGGAGACCCACCGCCCTCAAGACTCTCGGGGGTTGCTGGTGCGCCAGCCATAGGTCCCAGGGGACCGCTAAATGTGTCCTGGGCTGCCCGAGCGGTGCCGACAGTTTTTGGCACTACTGGACCTGTCCTGTCTTCTTCTGGCTTCTGGAAGCCAGCGTTGGACACATTGTAGAAGGCGAGCCTATCATCCGTCTCGGTATCTGGCGTCCCACGCGGGAAGCCTTCAAAGTGCTTGTATTCGCTAATTATCTGTGCAATGCATTGCATGTCTTGCCAGTTTCCTCTGACGGAACTGTTTCGATGTCTCAGGCCAGGTCTGCGCTGCCGACAGTTCGATATCAGGTCGAGCGGTCGAGCTGCAGCACTGCGTCGTAGAGCTGACGGAGGACTCGGCGCGCCCCCCTGCTACGCTCGAGGAGTAGGAGCAGGAGGAGGAGGAGCAGGAGGGGGAGCAGAAAGGCCAGAGTGGATTTGAGTGCTCTTGGGGCGTCTTGGAGGCCTCTTGACGGTCCCGGGGGCCTCTTGGAGCGTCTTGGGTGCCTCGGGGGAGCCTCTCAGAGCCTCTTGGGGGTCTCTTGGGGGCCTCTCGGGGGCCCCTTGGGGCATCCTGGGGCCATCTTGGGGCCCTCTTGAGGCACCCTCGACGGCAGACGCCCAGGTACCTCGACGACCGCCATCTGCCCCCCGCCGGCCCCCCCCCAAAACAAATATCAAACAAGTCACAACGAAGAGTGGTGGTGTTGTCGGTGCTCCTGCCCACGCGGCCCTTGTCGACGAGTGGAGGTACTTGGCCCCGCTGCCGTCTCCCGCGGCACATTTGTCGACGAGCTTCTTCTGGCTTTTTTCACTGGCGAACCGCGCGGCACGCGCGTCTCGACGCTGGCGCGCCCGACCTTTTTCCATTCTGCAGTCAGGACATGGGCTTCCTGCTGCTGCTGAGGCAGTGGAGCCTTGGGGGCCATCTTGGGGCCATTTTGGAGGAGAGCGGTCAAATAATGAGGAATCCCAATTTAGCCCCGCCCCCAGGAGGCCAACATGTGCCCGACACGATTGTAAGCGAAGTGATCGTCGCCTTTTCGCCGAGGCCTTCTTGGACGCTCCAATCGGTCGCGGCCCCTCCCCTCCAGACCCAGGGGGAGGGGGCCGGGGGAGGGGTCAAGGCGCCTTTTCCGCCCGCGAGCCGTCTCGCTCGCTCCGGCCCACCCTCCCAACGCATAAGTGGCACCTGAGCCTCAGCATGTTCAGCGGTCGTCTTTGGATGGGCAGCCACTGGGAACCAAAAACAGACCCCATGTGCGCAGGGGTGGGGCGAGGTGCGCCGCGCGTGCCAGGCCCGCCACGAGCGCCAGGTTGCGCAGGGCACCCCTGGGGCCTGGGCGTGCAAGGCACGCCTGGTGCGCCAGATGCGCCACGTCCTCCGCGCACGCCATGCGTGCCGCATGCTCCAGCCTCGCCAGGCGCGTAATGTTCGGGGCGTGCGCAGAGTGCCGAAACGTGACAGCACACATCGGGAACCATGCCGGCCCCCACCATTCCTGTCGAAAACCAATGCGCAATCGACGCGGGGTAGCCATTATGGTGTCTGCTGGGCCTGCGCACGGCAGGCAATATTCCAAAACGCCCGCCGTCCCTGTCATAAAGTAATGAGAAGTGATCGCGGGGTGGTCGCGCAGGATTTTGATTTGGCCGCGAAGTGCACTTTGTGTAAAATTTGTTGCAGGGGTGGTGGCCCTGCGCGCAGCAAAACATATGCCGGCACCCCCAGATCCCCTTTCAAGAAGCAGTGCAAAATGTTCGCAGGGCCCACGGCCCTCTTCCAGAGTGTATTTTTGCATTGCCTCTGGACAGGGATTGCGGGGGCGGGGTTGGCACGGTTGTTCGCTGGTGTTCGGCCTGGTTGCTGGTCGCCTGGGGGAAGGCTGCTCGTTCACAGGAATCCGAAAGGGGAAGCCTTCCCCGAAGGGGAAGCATGAGGTCTGGAAAAGTAAACGCCCTAAACCACCCACGCCTAGAGTTGTGGAGGACGATCAATGGAGAGGAAGCCTGTTGGCTAATAATTTCCAGGTGTCTAGAACATGTGTTAAAACTGATTTAACATGTAAAAAACATGATTTAAGCATTTTCATGACATGTACCGACATGTTAAGCACATTTTCATTGTATTGATAGGACTGTTAGGGTGTCATGGTCGAGGCATCCGCAAGCCTAGAGGGCTGATGGGATTCTCGGCCGCCGAGCGCACATCCTATGGCGCAGCCGTGCGCAAACCTTTCTGTCTCGGGTGCCTGCCTCGGCCGTCTTTGAAGCGCGGGGACGCGGACCCATTGCTCCATGTTTTCAGAAGGGGTTGGGGTTGGTGGCCTCGAGCGTGCGGTGTCCTCGCTTTTGGCGAAGGGCCTTGGCCTCGGGAGCGCATGTTTGTCGTTTGCTTACAGGATGCGCTGCTTCATTTTCAGAAGGGTCCTGGCATCGGGGGCGCGGGCCCCTTTGATTGATACATGGGAAAGGGAGGGGCCGTGCACGCAGGGAAGTGCTGCGGAGGGGGCGTCCCTGAGGAGGAAACGGAAGCACTACCAGACAGCCCTTCCGTACCTCCATGCGGCTTGCGTAAGCCACTGCGTAATTTCGTGGACGGCGCAGGCCACGGGTCGCGCAACCGATGGTGCAACCCATCGTGTAGCCTTTGGATTGCGCAACCCATGGAGAGCCATGTGGGTGGCTCACAGCCCTGGCTGCGCCCGACATGTGGTGGCCGTTCGGGCCAGCGGCGGGGCCCACGCGGCGATCGGTATTGTGAGTTACGCTCCTCCTCGGCATCCGTGCCTTGCAGACGCCTGCCTACTTAGTGCTGCCCCTGCCGGTCCCCCCTCCCTTGTGAACTGAGCAGGCGAGCCGGTATGAAGCTGCGCTGCTGCTTCACTCGCCATGTGCACTGCAGCCGATGTGCCGTCGTGGCATAGCCTATTCGATTCGAACCTCGTCGTCCATGGCATGGCTGGCCTTGCGCAGACCGAGCGACGCAGCAGGGCCACGGGGCACCTCGCACTGCCCTGGCCGCTCTGCGCGCGGCCGCGGCTCGGGACACTCGAGCGCGCCACGCCGCTCGGGCCGCGACGCTCGGCAGGCCTCTGCGCCGTGGGCGCTGCAGGCGGCGATCTGCTGGGCTGTCCACGAAGGCAGGCTCGAGCCCGCTCTGCTGGGAGAGCGTCGAGCCCGCTGGAGGCAGCGGCCGAGTGCAGGCGGCGCAGGGGGCGTGAGAGCCAGCACACACCCGCGGCTGCCTCGAGGAGCTCGAGGCGGGCCTCCCTCGAGCCGAGTCGGGCACGCTGCCGCTGATCACGGCTGGCAGGGCAGCGGGCGGCCAAGGAGGGGGGGGAGCAGGGCCCGCGGGCAGGGCCAGTGAGGCACGCTGCCGAGGAGCACGGCTGGCACGGCAGCAGGCGGCACAAGGAGGGGGGGGAGCAGAGCCCGCGGGGGACACTGTGCGCACCGTGCCGCGCTGGCGCCCACCGAGGCGGCGCCGAGGAGCGGCCGGGGCGGGGCACGGTGCGCAGGTTTCTCGGGCCCCCAGGGCCGAGCGCGACGCTGCGCACCGTGCCGGGTCTGAGCGGGCCCGGAGGCCAGGCGCGGTGTGCATGGGCGCGCTCTGTCGTGCAAGAAGCGTCGGGGAGAGTGAGGACTGCTGGACGGCAGCCTGGAGGCCAGGCGCGGTGTGCACGGGCGCGCTCTGCCGTGCAAGAAGCGTCGGGGAGAGTGAGGACTGCTGGACGGCAGCCCCAAGCAGCTTCTGCACCGCCCCGCTGACGAACGCCCGCCCGGCTCGTCGAGCGCCCGATGTGGAGCAGGGGTCGGTGTCGATTGCCGCTGTGCCGGGCCTGCAGGGCAGGCTGGTGATCTTTGGAGCTCAGCCGTTCGAGAGCCTCGAGGTCGTGCATGCACGCGCACGTCCAGAGGCGGCCCCGCTGCGGTCACGGAGGTGGACGCGGTCACCACTTGCAAGATCTCGGATCGAACACCGTCTTAAGGAGTTGCAGAGGGCCCTGTCGACGGAAAGGCTATTCGCCAGCGAACAGTTGATGTCCAATGCGGCCGTACAAAGATGGTGATCAGATGATGGAATTTCGGCAGGCTAAGGTACCCTTGGGCCTTTTGGATCTGCTCGTCGCGCGTGCGCGTGTGCATATCCAGGCGAGCACGTTGGCATGCGAGCACGTGAATTCGTGAGGATACGCGAATCAGCGAACAAAACATGCGCGTACGTACATTTGTGCAGACATCGTTGTTCTCAGACTCTGCGCATGGCTGTGGGACGTATTTTCTATTTCTCGTTGTTCCAAATTTCAGGTGGGGCAGCAAAGTGAGTGGGATCGAGTGCATGGGCGGCGAGTGGCTGAAGGTGCGCGCCCCTTCGCGCACGCCCATGGGTAGGCAAGGGCAGGGTTGGGCGAACCAGAAGCTCCGTAATTGCAAGTGTGGGTGGCTCAATTAGAGAGTATTGACTTGATTCGCTTTTGTACCATGCGCGCGCTTCCTCACATTGTTGACGCTTCACGTATCCGCACCAGCCCATCCAGCAACGATTCCTGGGCAACAAGTTGAGAGACGGGACGCGGAAGAGCGACAAGTTACGAGGGAACTTGTTTGGGATCCTTTAGGGACCCGTTGGAGCCATATTGCAGGCCATTTGCAAACACGAAAGTTGTTTCAATCAGCCCCCCTTGGCTAGCCCGAACATGTTCCTTGACTTGAGATTCGCTCGGGCCCTCCTGTGGTGCTCGTGAGAGCTTTTTGAATTCGTGGTGGTGATCAGGAAAATCCCTCCCCTCTCCCCTGGCGCCCCGATTTTCGATCTCGAGGACGCCGGCGGCGCATCACTGGCCGCTCCCTAGGAGTTTGGCGAAGTGGCGCGCAACGAGGGTCAAGACGCAGCGCGCATGCCAGCTGTCCTTGGCGGGGGTCTCCTGAAGGCTTCTTTGGAGTTTTGAAGACGCGTGCGGCGAATCACAGCCGCCCCCTGCCGTTTAGGATGCGCCTATGTGGTCAAACGTGTGGTCAAAATTTGGCCACGCTATTGGACTATGCGTTCCGCAGGCCATAGTGGAATCCTTCCATGGAAGACGTGGGGGAGGAAGAGGAGGATGAGAATAGGGATGGAAGAAGGAGGATGAGGGGAAGGAGGAGGAGATCTCTTGGGTCGTTGTTGGGTCATTCTGCTTGGGATCCACGATGGCCAACATCTGGTTCAGTGCTTCCGGTATCGGCCACGTGCTGTCTTTAGGCGGCCCCCAAGATCGGCACGAACGAAATGGGTACGGAAAGAATGGGCACAAAGCCCAACAGCAGTTCCTGTTCATTTTGAACAGGACTCGCTGTCCGCGCCGCCGCGCCCTGTGTCCATTCGAGACAAACGGCCGCCTGCCCAACAGCGGCCGCTGTTGGTTTGGGACAACAGTTGTTGTTGGGCATTGTACCCATTCTTTCTGTACGCATTTCGGGCGTCCAAACACGAGACCCCCCAGGAGGCCCGCAAGAGGCCGAGAGAGGCCAGACCTTGGCCCGGCAATCCGTGCGCCTGAGACCTCCCCCTGCAGTGGAGACCCATGCCAAGAAACACCCTGCTTGCCTCCAGAGTGCCCTGGGTTTCTTAGGTTTTTTGGTATGAAAAGCGTGACCTTCCCACATCAAGAATCGATGGACGTCCTGGGGTCTCAGGGTTGGGTTTCTTGTGGAAGGGTTCTTCTGGACTGGCCTCCACTGTACTTGCACTCCCACTTGAGGGTTCGATGTTCCTGCGCCTTCCGCCCCCGAAGCGCTGGTAGGTGGCGAGGAGAGCAGAACAGCACTGTTTCCGCCCCCCGCTCTGCCATGCGACGGGTAGAGCAGAGCAGCAGCTGCTCCGCCCTCTGCGCTGCCGTGTGGCGAGCAGCGCAGCAAAAGTATGATGACTTCCGCCCCCTGCATAGCCGTGTGACGGGTTTAATGGAACGGTGATTTTGTCCAGCTCTTTGCGCTGCCGTTTGACGAGTACAGCAAAATGTTGCTCGTTCCGCCCCGTGCGGTGTCGTTTTGTTTGCCCACCCTAAATTGCCACGTCACGGATTCAGCAGAATAGTTGTTTTCCGCTTCAGTGCGTTGCCATGTGATGAGAAGAGTAGAGCAGTCACGGAATGCCGTCGTTGATGTCGTCGCCGTCAGTGCTGCCGACCCCCCCCTGCGTTATGGCACGCCCTGTAGTTTGCTCGAGAGTCCGCCCGCCCGCCCGTCTGTAATGCCCCGCCTTCCCGACCCGCCTGTTTGTGTCCGCCCGCCCCGCTTGCCGCCCCATCCGTTCGGGCTCCTGTTAGGGGTTGCCCGCACGACCCTCCCGCCAGGGTTCGCCCGCTCGCTTGCACGACGAGCCACCCGCCCACTCCAGCGTCTCGCCTGCCCGCCTCGGCCGTCCAGGTCCGGCCGACCCGCCCGTGAGGCTCCGCCCGCCCGACCTGTCCGACCAGCACGCCAGGGCCTGTCCGGCCCGCCTGCCCTCCGTGCTCCGCGGAGTCCGCCCGCTCGTTTGAGCGCGCTGGTCCGCCCGCGCGCTCGCTTGGCATCCCGCCCGTGGGGGGTGCGTCCGGCCCGCTTGACCGTCTCGCCCGTCAAGAGTCCGCCCGCTCGTCTGGTGGAGCCCCACGGACTGGCTGGCGTTTTGGCGATCTCGTGGGCCGTGTTCGTTTCGACTTCGCTTTGCGGTGGAGGTGGACTGAAAACAAAACGAGGGGAAACGAACACAAAACGAAAACGAAAACGAAAAACACCGTTGAGGGTCAGCCCTGGCAGTACCCATCAGGCAGCGGTTCCATTTTCTGCCGCCGGGTTTCGCAACCTACAGCGCAAGTGGAGTCCACAGCAGACCTCTGTCTCGGCCGCGGGGTGCGCAAACGAGGGCGCAGCAACCCACCGCGTGGCGTCCTGTTCTCGGCCGACTGGTGCAGACTCTGTGGCGCAGCCAAAGGCAGGCGTCCTACTCCTGGCGGCCGAGTTCTCAGCCCTGCGGCGCAACAAAATACAGTCGGGTCCCTGAAGAAGGAACCCTTTTCGTTGGGGAGGGGCTCCGTGCTCCTTAAGTGTTTCGCAGCTGGCCCTGGATTTTCCTTAGGTGATCGATACGAAATCGAAGTTCAACTTATGGAAAATAGGGGCCTCGTTCCTTATTTGGGGTTCCGTAGGTCAACGCCTCGGCTGTAGCAGGGCCTTTTACCATCGGTTGCCGAGTGCGGAACTCATGGCGCAGCCAAGGGCAGGCAGCGTGCATTTCGGGTGCGGAGCGTGCCAACGCCACCATCAGCAGGCTGCTTATGTCATAAGCAGCCTGCTGATGTCGGGGGGAGGTTCGGCGGGGGGAGGTTCGGCCCGGTTCGGAGTCCCGGTTCGGTTCGGTTCGGTGTCGTAATTTTCCGGTTCGGTTCGGTTCGGTTCCCATTGACAAGAAACACCGGTTCGCGCCGGTTCGGTTCGGCCCGGTTCGGTTCGGCCGGTTCGGTTCGGTTCCGGAACCATCCTGTTATGATCAGCCGCCGGGCGCGCAACCCAGGAACCCGTGGAACAACCAATCGCAGTCCGTTTTATCATCGGCCGCCGAATGCGTGACCTGTGGCGCAGTCAACGGCAGGCCGGTTCATTGTCGGCATCCTGTGTGCGCGGTAGCAGGCCGTGTTGTTCGCGGCCGCCGAGTTGGCGCAACCCATGGCGCAGCCCATGGATGCAGAATGGCGCATGCCATGGATTGTGTAACCCATGCCGGAATCCATGAATGGTGCAACCCGTGGATCGCGCAGTCCACGGCGCAGCCCATGGTTGACGCAACCTATGCCGTAGCCCGTAGATGGCACAACCTATGGTACAACACCTGGACTCGCCACCTATGGCGCGCCATAAGGGTGGCACGCACCCATTGGCAGGTTCTACAGGACTACGCCAGATTGTTTGCTCGTCGTTTGGGCTGGCGGTTGGGCCCAAGCGGTGAGCTGTCGTAGGATTCAGTCGGGACGCTGACCAAAGGGGGTGATCGAAGCTTGTGCTCGCAGTTAGCGGAAAGATGTACCTACGATGCAGCAGTAGAGCCTCCCGTCCAAAGTCCCATCAGGAGTCCTTGCAAATATTGTTGTCCATTGCGCGAAGCTCCCTCCTTGATAGAGGAGCGCCGCCATGGGCCCGAGAGCCTTCCGAAGAGACCCAACGAAACGTCCCTGAGGACCTGGCCCACGTCAGCGTCGTCGTCGGCGCCGCCGCCGCCGACGTTGTCGTCGTCTTCCCCCTTCAGGATCGGCGGCGCCGGCCGTGAGGCCTTCGCCAATAAAGTCGGACCTAGGCCAGAAGAACATCCCTCTCCGTCGGCCAAAATGAACAGAACAGCCAAGGGCACCCTCCCCAGGGTGCGCAAGAACATCCAACAGTCACGAAGAACACCAGAGCACCCGCCCCGAACCGACCTCGGTCTCACACCTCGGTCCGACTGTAGTCTTCTTCGCTGCGCGAGGCCCCCTCCTTGAGAGGGGGGCGGCGCCATGGGCCCGCAATTTCGCGCGGCAGCTCCGACTGGAAAGAGGAAAGCCGACCCTCCGTCTTTCGAGCCACTGGGAATGCAGCAGGGGGGGCCTCGCAGTCGGACCGACGTACAAGGTCGAGGTCGGTTCGGGGAGGTTGCCCTGATGTTATTCGTGTTTGTTGGATGCTCGAAGGATTGCAAAAAAAAACCTAGGATTGCAAAACAACCCTCGTACGAAGGTTTTGTTGTAATCCTTCGTATAAGATCGAGGTCGGTTCGGGAGGTTGCCCTAATGTTCTTCGTGTTTTTTGGATGCTCTTGTGCATCCTGGGTGAGGGCATTTTTGAATGTTCTTCAGTTTGGGCCGTCGGAGGGTCTCATGCTCTTAAGGGATGTTCTTGTGTCCTGGGTCCGGCTGTGCAGCTCAAGGACGTGCCCAGCGAATGCCCCGAATTGAGAAGGAATCACCTTCCGTCCGCTCAGTTGCTACTGTCTCTTATGGAAGAGAAATCCTGGGGAGGCTTGTCCAAGAGGAGTTGTCCAGAGGGATTGTCCAGATCCCCGCTAGGTGCCCAAGGGGTTATCCGGGGTAGGTCGACTTGTCGTCATTCGTAAGCATGGGTTGTCCGGGTTGTTTGTGGGATTGTCCAGGGATTTTCTTGATTAGATTATTTGCCCGTTGTATATAGATCAGGATTTCATTTCATGGTCATACAATATCGCGAAGTCGTAGGCAAGAGCCCAATGTTGAAAAGGTACCGGCCTCCATCCGAGGACTTGTTGCAGATGCAGCGTTATGGTTTGATGATGCAGGCGAGATCCGCATTTCGAGAAGGCGCCGGCCTCCATCCGTGTAATTGTTGGAAGCGTCTAGCACGAATGCTCGACGCGAAGGCGAGAGCCGCACTTCGAAGACGCTTCGGCCTCCATCTCTGTATATGTTGGGCGCTGTTGGAAAAAATGTGCGCGGCACTGAGGCGCTTGCCACATTTTGAAAAAAAAGGTTTCGCCTCCATCCGTGTAACTGGTGGGGAATTTCAGCCTCGGAATAGCACATGGAAAGGTAGTATCAAGTGCAACGCCCAGTCTGGCCTACGGACTCGTCTGGTGGTGGGGCTACAGGGTCGGGCTTGAATAAGGAACACTCACTTTTCAAAAGGGGCTCGGTCGTTCCTTTGGTTTGCATGCGTTCCGACACCTTTTTGGCGGCGAGCTTCCCAGGTGTTCCTTCGGACTTCGTAGACTCCCTTGGGGAAAAGGGGCTGCGTTCCATGTGTATCGTTCCTTAGGTCAGGCCGAATACTGTATTCGCAATAAAGAGGGATCGACGACGAGAGAGGGATCACGGAGAGGGCTGCGCCAGGAAAGGTTCCGAGCCGATGTATGTACGATCGTTGACCCTTGTTCTGGGATCTTCGGGGGTGGACATGACCTCCTACCCTGACGCGTCGATTAGCGACTTGGCCGTTTTCGGTTCGCGAGTGGGCGTCGCGACCGTCATTTGTGCGGGTCCAGGTACGTCGGTTTCGGTCCGAGGCCGTTTTCTCTAAAGGGTGGTTTATTAAAGGGAGGGTTGTCCAACGCCGAGATTTGTCGACTCGGCCTTTTATGTTTCGTGCCAAAACATGTTTCAACTGGTTGGCGTTTGCTTGCGTTTGTCTTTCGAACTGACTGGGTCGGACAGGATCGCGCCACAGGGTTTGCGTTTTTGGGGTTTGGTTCTTTGGTCAACATTTTGGGGTTTCGGTGAGGGTCTCAAACGGTCTCAGGGTTAGGGCTAGGGCAACGAGGGCGAGGAGGGTGGAGGAGGAAGTCGCCGTTGTGATAGCAGCCGTCGTCGTTGTGGTCGTTGTCCTTTTCGTACTCGACCTCGTCCTTGTGGTTGATGCGGACCTGAGAGCGGCGGGAGGAAAGGAGGGGACGAGCGGCAAGGAGGAGGGGAGGGGGGATAGCCACTGGGGCAGAAAAGGAGACTCAGGCTGAGGAAAGCGGGGTCAGAGAGAGAGAGCAGCCTCGGGCCGGGGGGCCCGAGGGGGAGCAGCTTCCAGGGGAGCCGGAGGGAGGGCTGCTGGGAAGGCTGGGGCTTAGGGGAGAGGCAGCTTCTGTGGGCACAGTGGGGATAAGGGGGAGGGCTGGTGAGCTTCGGAGCTCGGGCGCCTGAAGAGGTGGTGGCCAAGGGCCCCCACTGGCTCCCCGGCGCGTTCTCTCTCTCGGCTTCGCTTCTGCCGTTTGGCATTTCCCTGCGCCCGGTGGCTGTCAGGTCGAGGGCCACGGCTACTTGCCCATGAGGTTGGACGGCGTACAGGTGCTGAAGCGGAAGGCGAGGACAGGCAGACTGACATTCCAAGGGCAGTCAGTCAGAGGAACAACGGGGGCTCAGGGCCGAAGGTGGGTCAGGATCGGGGCTTCGGATCGGTAGGGCTTCCAATCGATGGGTGACGCCCCAGGCCAGTAGAGAAACTCCAGAGGGATCACGACAGGCCTGGACTCCCAAATGGCCACCCAAAGGCTGACCCAAGGCGGTCCCGGAGGGGCCTCGAAGGGTTCGAGGAGGGCACTGAGGCTCGTTTAGGGGCGTTCAGGGTCGTATCGGGACCGTCTTAGGCAGCTTTGGAGCTGCCCGTCTGCAGTTCTAAACGCCCAGCTCTGGGACTGCACCGCTCCTGAAGCCTCTTGGGCCGTCTCGAGCGGTGGGAAACCCGAACAGGCGAGAACCTCATCATCCTTCAAACAGGGAGGAACATCAATGGTTTTGGCCCCCGCGGGCTCTCCAGGAGCGCTTCTTGGAACTCTCTGGGGCCGTCGCGGGGGCCTCTTGGGCCGTCTTGAGGCCTTCTTGGGTTGTCTTGAGCCGTTTTGAAGCTCTCTCGGGAGGCTCTTGAGCTGTCTTGGGCCGTATTGAGCGGTTTTGTGCTTAGTTGTTCTCTTGGCTGTCTTGGACGCCGTCTTGGAGGCCATCCTCGCCGTCTGGATGCAGAACAGATCGCCAGGGAGCAACTTCAGAGGGGTCGATGTGTGAACCCCGCTTGCGGTGCAGAGGGGGTGGGGTCGGCCCTAGAAAACATGGAAACCATTCCAAGGGGGGCCGCAGGAACATCTAGCACGCCCGCTCCGTGCAGGCCAGCACGTTGGCGGAAGTGTTGCAATCTATGTGGGCCAATCTAGTGTGGTGCAATCTACGCGGCGCAACGAATCAATACTCAAGTTGAAGCTGTCCACTCCACTGCTTGCGAAAACATCCCACCCACCCACCCGCAACTTGGTTTGCAAACCCCATGCGGCGGCAATTGCGACGAGTGCTTGACGCTTGCTGGTGCATGTCTGCGGCCGCGACAGCCTGCGCATGCACGCGCGCGCGGCGGCCAGCTGCTTCAGCGCGACCGATGCGGCCGCGGTGGCGCTGACCGCTGGGCACACCCCAGCGGGCACTTCAGTGCGAGTCGGCGACTTGGGCGGCGCGGTATCATGGCAACGTCCGCGCGGTGATGATAGTAGCGATGTTGGCGACGATGTCGGCAGCGACGACGGCACGGCCAGTGACGGCGCAGATGCTGATCACGCCGACGGCGATGACGGCGCCCTCGCGTCGGTGACGCAGGTTTTGGAAAGAATACAGCATACGCGCGCGGCCGACGCGCGATAGTGGCCCGCATGGTTTTATTTGGCACGGATCGTCCCCCCCCAGCACTCGCGCAAGGGCGTGCGAATGATGTCGGCATGCGGCGTTGAAAAATTTTATTAAAGGATAGTTCGGGGGCGATTTTTGGGCGAGTTTTGAATATGTGTGGGGTCTGTTTTGACTGTTTCTTATGTTTCGTCCCCGTGTCATGGGACATGCCCGACCTAAGGTTTGATCCGGTCCGTAGTCTGATTCGTTTTGGTTCCGATGTTCTCTCGGCCCAGTTCGTTGCCAAGTTTCCCGCAGTTCGGTTCGGTTTGGGTTCGAGTTGTAAGCGTCGGTTTGAATCCTTTGTGGTTCGGTTCGAGTTTAGTTTTCGCGCTCGGCGGCCTCGTCCTCCCCCTGCAAGTCGGGAGCGTTCAGCCTCCTCTTGCTCGCCGTCGTCGTAGACGCCTTCCGTGACGAAGCGCAATCCAATCTAACCATCGGGTGCACGAGCGCCCTCTACTCGCAGAGGAAAGTGGGGAAGGCGGGCGAGGGGATGGAAGGGAAGCGGGGGGAGGCGGAGGAGGGGATGTCGCATCGCCAGTGCTATACGCCAGGCACCTCGGGGTTCCCTTGCCGTCGCTGGCACGGCAGCCCTGCCCCTTTTCCGACGCACTGACAGGGTCTACTCGCGAGGGGGGAGTGGCGGGCAGGGCAGGCCGACCGACGGGTTGGCGGTGGGGCGTGCGAGCACGCAGGTGGGTGGAGCGATGGGAATGCGGATTTGGCTCCGCGACGTTGACCGTTCCGCTGGCCCTCCCTGGCCGGCAGGGGGAGCTGCAGGCACATGGCGCGGCCCGCCTGGTCGAGAGTTGGATGCACGCGTGTCTGGGCGTCCCTCCGCCGCTCGGCCTTCGCATGGCCACGTGCGGAGGCCCTCCACACGTGCATCCAGCACGTGGCCTCCAGGTGTGCCGCAGGTGAATCGAGCCATGCGAGAGGAGGAGGAGGAGGAGGAGGAGGAGGAGGAGGAGGAGGAGGAGGAGGAGGAGGAGGAGGAGGAGGAGGAGGAGGAGGAGGGGGAGGAGGTAGGAGGAGGAGGAGGAGGAGGAGGAGGAGGAGGAGGAGGAGGAGGAGGAGGAGGAGGAGGAGGAGGAGGAGGAGAAGGATTCCAGTTTCCTGGCGGAGCCTTCCCTGCTTCCCCGCTCCAGCCCCCCGCCAGCGGAGAGTCTCCAGCGCCCAAGGGAAGCCCCAGGGGGGGCGTCGGGCCGCACAGGGGGTCGCGAAAGAACGACAGCAGGCCCCCTCGTTTGGAAACGACCTTTCGACTGGCATCCCTGCTTTCAGTGGTTCGATGCTCTGGCCAGCACCCCGCGAAGGCGACAAGGGGCTCTTCGTGGCTGCCTTCCTGCTTCGAGGCGCCTAGACGCGATGCTGGCGCACTCTCTCTCTCTCTCTCTCTTTTTCTCTTCCTCTTTGTTGTGTGTCTCTCTCTCTCTATGTATTATCTCTCTCTCTCTCTCTGTATGTATCTCTCTCTCTCTCTTTCTCTCTCTCTCTCTGAGTCCTCATCTCTCTCTCTTTCCCTCTCTCTCTCTCTCCCTCTGCCTCTCCCCTCTCTCTTCCACACGAATCCTCGCGCCCTCTGGCCCCGTCATTTCCCCTCTCACCTCTCGCATTCCTCTCTCTCTCTCTGTCTGTCTCTGTCTCTCTCTCTCTCTCATGTTTCACATGCGCCCCCTATGTTCCAGATGTGATTCCGTGCAGTCTTGCTTTCATGATCACATCCCCTCCTGGCTCATTTGCTCCACACCTCACAGGTCGGGCTCGTTAGATTTTAAGAACTGACCTCCCGATCCGTCCACCCTGCATACCGCGGCCGCCAGATTCCCAGGTCCCCCGGGTGTCCCCGAGAGTCACGCCTCGCGCCGCTCTGCACGCCGCGGCCGCCAGATCCCCAGGTCTCCGAATGTCCCCGAGAGTCCCGTCTCGCGCCACTCTGCATACCGCGGCCGCCTGATCCCCAGGTTCCCCGAGTGTCCCGCCTCACGCCGACGAATCCTGGCATAACAGAGCGTTGTTATATTGTTGCAGGGCTAGTACAGCACAACACCGTAAGCTATGACAGAGCATGGCATACCACCACACCACCTGACATAACATATCCTAGCACAGCATACACCAGAGTATAACATGACACGTTGTACCATCACACACCGTGTCAGGGCAGTGCACACCATAGCACAGCATCACAGCACATTCCATGCCATAGCACGACAGCGCAATGCTACCATTTGAAACCATCGCAGACCTGAACAAACCACAACAGAACATGGCACGGCCTCACATGACATGGCATACCATGCCATATTGCAACATGGCGTAGCAATTCATGCTATGACAGTTCGGAACATCAACACCATGACACAACATGACGTAACAGAGCATACCATAACACAACATGCCAGACTACACCACAACATAGTACAGCATCACAACACATATACCATTACAGCTAGCATCCGAGCCTGGTTGACAACTCATAACCTGGCAGAGCGCGGCATAGAGGTTACATGCATAATGTCCCAAGCTATGACAGACCGGATCATACAGAACAGAGCATCACTCCACACCTCAGACCATTAGTTAATCTAGCATATTATCACCCACCATGCCATACCATATCATACCATACCATGGCATAACATAGTAAACCGTAGCACAGCATGCAAACACATCATTACATTGCATGGCAAGTGATTTCATTACACCTGAGAAAACCCAATCAGTGGATGACTTGAAAATTAATACCATGGATCTTGAGATCGATTGTGAGATCGATAATGGGATCGATAGTGACATCGATGATGAGGACGATTGTAAGGTCGATCGTGAGACCGACCGAGAGTGACATCGATTCAACGAGATCGATCGTGAGATCGATCGCGGGATCGCTCATGCGATCTCTAGTGAGATCGCTTGTGAGATGGATAGTGAAGTGAGATCGATCGTGAGATCGATAGAGAAGTTGGTAATGCGATCCATGGTGAGACCGATCGATAAGAAGATCGACCAGGAACCCGGAAACTTCGCCGCCCTCCGAAATCGGCCCAGAACCGGGAGCCCAGGAACCCAGAACCGGGAACCCGGGAACCCAGCGTGCGACCAACATCGGCAGGAGACTTTCGCCAAATGTTTCAACTTCCGCGAGGACCCTTTCAGTGCAAGCACTGCTTCGTGCCCTGGGCTGTTAGGTGGGTTGTAAGGCGACTTGGGGATATGATAGGAACTTGTTCACACATCCCATGTAGCGCTCTTATAACTTACTTACAACTCCGCCTTAATTTTTCAATCGCTTCCAACATTCCCCCTATTTGTTTTTGCTTTCGTAATTTTCATCATTTGTTTTGTAACTTTTGCTAACTTCCGCGTTTGGGCCCATTGCCCGAGCGGCGATAACATTCGGCTCAATACATTCGGGTTTTCCACGGCATATTTGCGCCGAGCGGTGCTGTGCCGTCGCGACATGCATGGACAACGCTGTGAAACGCGCTCGTGTAGCGGCATCAGGAGGCCTCAGCATATCTTACAACGCCATGCAGTGGAGGTTTGACGCTTTGAGAGACGAGGACCAAGATTCTAGATTGAGCAAGAGTTTGATTTCGGCCTCAGTTCTCAGGTATGTTGAAAACATCACAACGGGGCATGGGCAGATTATTCAGACCGTTCCCCTGGACACAGCGCGTCGCCGCGCCGCCTTTCGCCGCTCATCATATATAGGGGGTAAGGGCAGAAGGGGAAGTGGGGGGGGAGGGATGGTTGCGGAGGCTGGGGAACTGGACGAGCACGGAAGAGGATGAGGACCTGAAACGCGTTTCAGATGCGACATGTACATACATCAATATATGCTGATATACTTCGCCACGAGAGGTCACGAGGAAGAAGATGATGGGTCCTCGTTCGCGCGATGGTATGCTCACCCTCTTGCCTTGTTGAATCACCTTTGCGAATCCTCGCCTGCGTTTGCCAGACTCCTGTCGGGCAGCTGCCCTGGCAAGCAGTGCGCTTGGCGCTGTGGGGGGGCGAGGCCAGCATGGGGAACCCAATGCGCCCCGACAGCGCCAATATATACTTAAATACCTTGTGATTTATTATACAATTACAGATATCCCAGAGCGGTGGAGGTCGCAAGACCTCGGGTGGTTCCCCGCAGGCGTCGTCGAAGTAGATCGGCTCTCGCACGTGGTGGCCGGGCATGCTGGCGTGCCCCGCGACATGTTTCACGCTATGTTCACCAGCTTCCATCATTTGAAAGCCGGCGTTCGGCGCACCGGCGGTCGCGGAGGCATTTTTGTTCAAGGTTCTTCATAAGGCCTTGATCCAAGACGATAAAAACCATAAGGAGGTACGGTCGCTAAAAGGCGCGGCAGGGAGTTCCTGTTGCGCCAGCTGCAAGAACATCTACAACGGACCCCCCAGCGCGCGCGAGCACGATGGTTACATTCATCGCCCTTCGACCGCGCGGCCCTCACATTTGATAGGCCCTCAGATGCGTCGGCGCGGCGCATGGTCGACAATTAATGACGCTTCGCGCGCCGTCACGGGCCCGCCCAGAAACCGCGCTGACGGGGGGCGCTTGGACGGGGAAGGTTGCCGGGTGAGAGGGATCGGAGGGAATGGGCTGGGAGGGTGGGGCAGGGGGGGAAACGCGATGAGTGATGGATTTGGCATTGATAGATGACGCGCCTGACGACGCCGTCGCCCCTGGCGGCCGTGGATCCGCGCCGCGAGCGCCTCGCGTTGAGCAAGGGGGATTTTGCTGAACTCCAACAAATGCACGGCATGAGTTGGGAAACAAACAGCGTCGCGTCCGACGACGCTCTCAGAGAGCATTCTAAACCTCGCAGCAGCCATTATACAACGGCTTCGCGGCGATCCCCGACTCGCCCTCCTGCCGAGCGGGGGGCGAGGGAGAGGGGGGGGGGGGGGCGGCGAGGAAAAGCGATAAGGCGGGCGACGAGGAGTCCAGTGTGGGGGGGGGTGGGCATTCAGCCCACCCCCCACGCTTTGCCACGCCCCTTTGTGGAGCGGGCGCGGTTTGGGATTGGATGCGCGCGTCGTGCGCAAGTGGAGGGGTGTGTCAATATTTCATAAGCGAGTTCGTCACATAATTGCTGTCCCGGGGTATCGCAGCCGCTGACCACGGCGATTTCACGGCGGCGACGTTTCGCGATTCTTCAGGCGCCTCGAGCGGGCATCTGGTCAAATTACCAGCGAGCGTTTCCAGGGGGCGGATCAATTTGAAATCCGGCCAATACGCGGAAACGTTCGCGGCTGAGGCCCTCGCTGCAATGCGAGTGCTCGATTACGCATTGGCGTGCGGCGATTCCCAGCGCACCCATGATCCACATTGGCGACGCAAACAGATGCGGGGGGGGCACGGGCAAGGAAACCGATGCGCGTTTCGGTTTCGATTGGAATCGTCGATCGGAGGATTTCTGTTGCAAGTCTTTAGATGCCAGGGTCCGCCTCTGTTGCCGAGGCGCAGCCGCTGCGCCCACCTGATGAGCAGCATATGAGTAGATTTGACATTTTTACATTCGGCGATGAGGCTGCGCGGCGCCCGGGAAGGTTGGCAGCCCTGCTCGAGGGCCACCGCCAATTCCTGGTGCTGTAGCCGTTCGGCGATCGCCCGCCAGCATTGGTTGCCGCGCGCATCGTTCGGAGTTTCCTATCGGGCGCCGGATATGCTCCGAGCATGCACCGCGCCTTGCGCGCCCCAGCTGCCGGGGCGGCGGATTGTCCTATAAAGCAGGCGCGCGTGTAAGATAAAATCTCGCCGGCAGCGCCGCGTGCTAGAGAATTTGCAGAGTTCTGGATCGAACCTCAATTTTATCTTTACAACGAGCGCAGGCTGACAATCGCGAGGAGCGCTGCCAAGCACATGCCGCTTTTACGCGGCAAGTTCCAACCTATGATTTGCAGGGTGCTCCTCGAGTTGCGCTCATCACGCAGGCCCCCTGCGTTCCCAACGCGTTGAAGGCGCCGCAGGACGCGCCGACGTTGCTAGATTTCTCCCCAATCGGCCAGAGGCCGAGCTCCGCAATGGCATCCAAACATATGAATTGGCGCCGGGGCGGGCTAATAGTAAGTAATTTCTATCATGCCGTGGCGTTGGGGGCAGCAGTTCAACGTATCAGGCGGTAGGTTTTTTCTTGGCAGTGCATCTTTAAGCGCGGGCAACAATCGGTTTTCCGTTGTTGCCAGGATGTTTTTTTTCCGGCAAGAGATGCCCCGCATCTCTGCGAGTTTCCCGACCTCCCTGCGCGCCCTGCCCGATTGAAGGCGTAAGCGAGGCGCGCGCGGTCGTCTTTGATTCGGGCGAGCTTCGGCCTTTCTATTCCGATCCGCGCGATGCGTTGCTCGGCCGCGGTGGATGCGCGAGAGTGCGAAATCGCCCGCCGTCTCCTCCTTCTCCTCCCCCCCCCGCGGCCGCCCCTCCGTTTCCTCCCGCCCGCCCCCCTGCACTCCCCCCCCCGCCTTCCCCCCCCGCCCCATCCCCTGCGTTCGGGCGCGGCGCTCAACCCCGGATTTTTCGCCCCCTGCCCCTCCACGATTCCTCCGCTCGAGACATCCCCCAACTCTGCAAAACCAGCGTTTCGCTCGAGACATCTTCAACCAATTCTGAAACACAAGCGTTTCGCTCGGGACATCCTCAAAATTCAATCAGCCGGCCCACCTCGACTTCGATAATTATCAGGAAAAGACTCCGCCGGCCCACCTCAGTCACAGTGGGCGAGCCGTCGGGGAATCACCACTTCGCGTCGGCGCGCGCGACGCCACTGTACACCCCCCCCGCTCTCGGGGGTATGCTAAAGGAGCCCCTGGCCCAGGGTGCCCCCCCAGCCTCTCGCTCAATTGTGGAGCCACCGGGGCTGTGGGCCTCGTTGGGGGGTGCTCTGGAGGGCGTGGGGGGGCCTCCTTGGGCATCCCCGGGGCACCTTTGGCCAGGGGCACTTCTAGCACCCCCCCCCCCTTTCCTCCTCTCCTTGCACAGGGTGTCTGCGGGACGGCATCGGGCCCGTCGCGGAGCCCGAGTGCACAGACGGCTGGCGCCATCGTGGGCCAGGCGAGCCAGCTGGGCCTGCCGAATCAGAAGGCGCCCCCGGGCCTGTGCTGGGAGTGGGGCTGGCGCCGCTCGGAGCCCTCGTAGGCGTTCGAAGGCGAATTTGAATGTTTGCGAGGCTTGCTTTTCGTTTCTCTCGAGGGACTTGCGGGGAAGGGGGAGGGGGATTGAGGGTCAGAGGAGGAGAATGTACCCATGCCGATACCCTTTGCCCCCATGGGCCTCATGGGAGGCCATCGTCGACACCGCTGGATTCGCCCCGAAATTCTGGTCAGACCGCACCCCAGGAGAGGTCAGAGAATCGCGGTATCGGCACCTTTTGGTTTCCCCATGGAGGAGTAGGCGGAGGTGGGCTGGTGTCGGAAGAGTGTCAGGCGAATGTGATACACCATAGTGGGCCCGGGCTGCGACTTGCGCCACGCAGTTGATCACGAGCGGCAGAAGCCACGGCGTCACGCCTCACAGAAACGACAGAGGAATTTTCAAAACAAACATCTACTAGCGGTGACTCCAAAGAAACAGGATGCCGACTCTTCGCGAGGAAACAATGCGTCCTGCTCCGAGCTATTACGATCCTGCTCATTCTCCCCATCAGGCCCGACAGGGGCCGGATCTGCTCTGGAGAATCTCTGTTGTAGCAAATAGCATGCGGGCCACGCACACGCGCGCATTTTGTTGCGCAAAGTGTACCATCCAGGACCAGGCGGGGTCCCGCCTGGGCACAATCCTTGTCGAATGATGTTGTGCGGTGAACATGCCAAATGTTCTGCCAACGTGGGCACCAAACCCTGGTTTCTTTCATTCTTCGTATCCAACATTTACGCGCAATATATGCATGGTGTTTTTAATGTGCAGTAATTCGTTTTGCCCGTATGCGCGCGTGACCACCTCCAATGTTCGTGCAAACGTTCATTCACCCACCCATCCAGCCGCAGCTTGTGGATAAAGCTTTACTGGGGGTCGACAACTACGATGACGATGACGATTACGATGACGATGATGATGACGATGATGATGCTGATGATGCTGATTATGATGATGTTGTTCATGACGACGTTGGGGACGATGTCGGCGCTGACGATGTTGATGGTCATGAAACTGATTGTGATGATAATGATGGTTGCAGCTTTGACGTTGGCGATGATGTCGATGATGTTGGTGAGGATGATGAAGAGGTGCGCGCGCAGAAATTTGACGAGCGCGACGCCATCGACGATTACGATGATGGCGGCATCAGTCATAATGACGACGATGGCGATGATGATGGCGATGACGATGAGGATGGCAATGTTGACACTGGTGATGAGGAAGGGCGCGCCCGCAGAAAGTCCGAATTCCTGACACCGTCGTCATTGAATGGATTTCCCTACTCTGGGTTTCTTCACAAGCTTGGGGGGTCAACCTCGCCTCGTCGTCGCGCGGCGACGGGGGTCGGAGCGCCTTCGGCGCGCGGTGGCTGCCCGCGACGAGGGTCGATGTGGGGCTGTCGGCCGGGGGTGACGCCCCCCCCGACGCTTCTTGAGAGACTCGGAGTACGTTGCCGAACACCGCTGTGCTGTGAAAGGCTCCGCGAGCGAAGCCATGGTCGCGAAGGACTTCGCCGTGCGCGCGCGGGCGCACGCGTGTGGCCGGCCTGGTGTTCGTTGACCGAGGGCGAGGGCGAGGACGACGACAAAGGGCGACGACGGCGACGGCAATCCCGACGGGAGGGTCGGGCGGGCGGACCCTACGTGTAAGTCGGGCCTGTCCCTGCACAGGGGGAATACAAAGAATAGTCCAAACATGGTCTGGGGACGATCTCTGGACCATTCGTGAGCATTGTGGGGGCATTTTTCGAGCATTTTTTATCTTTCGCCTCAAAACTCGCCTGTAGGGGGACATGCCCGACCTAACTCCAGAGCGCTCCTCACGCGGCCCAGGGAGCCCCAGGAGGCTCGGGGCGGAAGGCCGGGGGCACCTTCGGCCAGGACCACTTCTGCTAACACCCGCCTCTGACCATCCCGCAGGCCTTCTGTCTGCACGAACGAAATGGGCATGGAAAGAACGGGTACAATGCTCAACAGAAGTTCCTGTTCATTTTGAACAGGACTCGCTGTCCGCGCCGCCGCGGCCTGTGTCCATTCGAGACAGAAGGCCGCCTGCCCAACAGCGGCCGCTGTTGGTTTGGAACAACATTTGCTGTTGGGCATCGTACCCATGTTTTCCGTGCCCATTTTTGCCTCTGACCATCCCGCGGACCTGACCTTGCGTGGCGGGCCGGGCGAGCGCGTCTGGCGGGCGGACGAGTCGGGCGGGCGAGCCCTCGCGGGCGGAGCGCGAGAGCAGTGCGCCACCTGTCCGGCAGGACACCAAGAGGGCGACGGCGACGAGTGCGACGACGATGACGAGGACGACGACGACGAAAAGGACGGACGAGGGCGTGGGCGAGGGCGAGGGCCACGACGAAGGCGACGACGACGACGACGGCAGCAACGACAAGGACTGCTACGATGGCGACGAGGCGGCGATGACGACGCCGACAACGACGAAGGCAACGACGAGAGCGACGAGGACGACAATGACGACGATGCGGGCGACCTCGGCGACTGTGACCTTCACGGGCGGCTGGTCGGGCGGACCCTTTCGGGCGGTCCGGGCGTTTCGGGGACTAACGGACGGGTCGGGCGGGCGGACTCTTTCGGGCGGGTCGGGTTGGGTCGGGCGGGACGTTAGTTGTTTGTAACCCATCCAGCAGGACACTCACGAGGGCAACGACGACGACGAAGGCGACGACGACGACGACATCGCCGACGCCGATGACGAAGCCGACGAAGACGGCGAGGGTGACGACGAGGACGGCGACAACGACGAATTCGACCGATGACGCCGACGACGAGGACGACGACGACGACGACGGCGACGATGGGGGCGACAACGACGACGACAATGTGGGCGTCAACTGTGATGACGACCATAACGGGCGGGTCGGGCGGGTGGACCCTGAAGGGAGGATCGGGTCGGCGGGTCGTGCGGGCCCCAACGGGCGGGTCGGGCGGGCGGGCTTTGACAGGTGGGTCTGGCGGGGTCGGGCACGGCATTAATTTGCAGGACATCCAGAATAATGTCCCGGATGACGACGGTGACGAGGGCGACGATGACGATAAGGGCGACGTATCAATAACATCAGGAAGCACCATTGTGTTCACGATATGGGAACCCAGTATAGGAAGGCAAAAAGCACAGTGCTTGCATTTTTGGTTTCTCATGTCTTTTCTTAGAAACTTGACTGGTGTGGCGGTCTGGCGGCTATGTTGCAGCCGTCGCCGCCTCGTTGCCACCCGTCGTCTGGGCCAGTGTGGCGTCCTGGCTGCTCATAGACATGCACTAAATAGATTGCACCACATCTAGTTTACCACATAGACTGCAACACATAGATTGCGCCACATATACTGCACAACGGATGTTGCACCACAGGGGACTGCACCATATTGATTGCACCACATAGACTGGTTTACATCGATTGGGCAACATGTGTCGCACATCATACATTGTATCACGTATGTTGCAAATCATAGGTTGCACAACAATGAATACATCACAAATATGTGTATGTATACGTACTGTTCCACAGTTTGCATCACATTGTTTGCCCTACATAGGTTGCAACACATCGATTGCACACCATATATTGCAAATCGTAGATTGCACCACTGATATTGCGCAACACAAACAGCACCACATATCTTGCACAATATGGATTGCACATCATAGATTGCATCACCTATATTGCAGCGCATCGATGGCGCACCATGTCTTGCTCACATCTGTTGCGCCACACATATTACATCACGTCGATTGCACCACATATATTGCACCACAGAGCTTGCACACCATAGGTTGCAAGTAGGAGATTGCACCATGTACATTGCACAACACAGTTTGCACCACATAGAATGCACATTTTCTATTGCACAACCTAGATCGCACCATAGATTGCACTGCGTCGATTGCACCACAGATATTGCTCCACATAGTTCGAACCACATATATTGCAATAAGTACATGTCACAACATTAATTGGAATAACATATAGGGCAAATCGTAGATTGCACAACGCCGGTTGCTCAACATAAATTGCCCCACATCGATTGCACGACCTGTTTTGCTCCACCTGGATTGCTCCACATAAATTGCATCACCTAGATTGCACCACGTAGATTGGTAGAACACACTATTCTGGGTCCACGCTGGCTAATGTTGCAATAATTCGAAACATCTCCAATGAACAACAACCATGTGCTCCCAACCATCCCAGGAAGCATGTCCGGTGTCGCACCTGAAGTTCCCGGGTTTGCCTTCCATTGGTTTCCGGGTTTGGCGGCCTTTTTTCCAGATTTGCCTTGATTATCGGATTATTTTAGGTTCCGCCTTCGAAATATCTGGGTCGGCCCCTCAGATCTCCCGGGCTATCCCAGAATTTTCGGGTAGGCCCTTTGAGTTTCCTGGTCAGTCTTTCCCCCCTGGCTTGGAATTTCCGGAGCGAGCCACTCGTGCTAGCATGGGTGCTCATGTTGCGGGAGGGCGGCTCGGAGTGCCGAGTGGGCGGGGCCTGCTGCCTCCCTCGATCTGGCCAGCCTGATTGCGACTCTTGCTCTGGCTCTTTCTTATTATCCATTTCGATCACTCGTGCTCATGCCTGCTCTTTCCTGTCTTGAGCACTGGAAGTTCTATCATCAACGACATCTTGTCGCTGACGCTGCAAAGTTCTCGGGCTCGGCGCACCGGGAAGATGCGGTAACTGCGCTGCCACCGCAGTGGAATGATGCTCCCATCTCAACACCCCAGATCCTGCGTTGGGAAGCGTTCCTGCTTGGGCGGGGCGCATGGCGTTCCTGCACCAGGTCGTCCGAAGCCGGGTTGGGCTTGCGCGCGAGCGCCTGACGTTCGTTAGGTGTGAGCGCGCGCCAGTACCACTGTCCAGTTGCGTTGGCCTGGGTGACGCCATGGGATGGAAGATGTGAGTGAGCGGATCCCGCTGGCTCCTTCGCTATTCC